GTCTTTTAAAGGTGCAAGGAGGGTACACAAATTTGGAAGCAGAAGAAATAAACTTGCCTGCTTGGAGGTAATAATACTGGAGGTTGGAAAATGAGGCCATTTTAAGGAAGAGATGCGCTCAAATCTGGTGACTACAGCATTCCTGATGCTCAAACTGCAGTGTGTTCCAGACAACTAGAGAAGTGGCAGTACCAGCTGTGGCACCAACACTAACTACCCTGCCCTTTTAAGCACAGAACTTAAAAGAAGAGAACCTAAGGACCCTGCAAACGCATATGGCTCAGCTACCTGTGGTTTCAGGGAGGGCAAACATGTAGCCTCCTAGGTAGCAGTCATGGGGATGGGAGACAGCGGGACCTCACATCACGCCTCTGGTGGGAGACACAGCGGGGACAGTGGAGAGGTGCTGCAGCTCTGGAGATGTCAAGATTCCAGCATCCTGGCTTACCAAAGCAAATAAAGCGGAAGTGCGTAACAACGCACAAACCACGTTTTAACATTAAAAACTGCAACTGTCGCGGGGACTGTAACACGGGCCACCTCTAGACTGCAGCAGTGCCCTTATGTTAGACACAAGTGTGTAGATATGAGAATGAAGTTTGGATTCTACAAATTGCTTGATAATCTCCAGTACTTGGAGACAAAGATTTTTGGGTTGGTTTTTATCCGGCTGAATTGCAGGGCAAAGATCTGATCCTGAAATTTAGAAAATCATCATCGCTATGAATCAGAAAAACCTGGGTTCAACTTTGGCTTGTGATATTTATTAACCCTATGATTTTGATTAAATAACCCACATTCTTTCTAAGCCTTAGTTTCCTCATCTTTAAAATGAGGGTCATAATACTGCTTTTACAGGACTTTTGGAAGGAATTAAATATTAGCTTGGTGCAAAAATAATTCAGGCTTTTTAACAGCACGTGCATGGTAGCGTTCAGTACAGTATTTGCACTAAGTAAATGCTCAATAAGCATTTGCTGGACAGTAAATACGCTCATGCTGAGGAGATTATCAATGTTTACACTCTGAATGCTAAAATGAGTTCCATGTCTCTTATGCACAGGGGGCTTGCAGGTATGAGACCATGGGCCACAGGTGCCAGATCTCTGGAACCTCTGGAGGAAGAACTGGTTCTTTATTTAGATACCACGACTTCTAGCTTCCTATCTTAAGGAGGCTTCAGGAACACTGAAACCAGTTATAAGGTACTTGAGAAAAAGGCCAAAAATGTCATTAAAAAGATGGGAAAAATGATTTGTAGGGATACATGAATGGCCTTAAACAGAGAAGTATGAGATTCTTCATTTAATTCTAGTCTGTGGAAGCTTGCATTGAGGAGACTGCTAAACAAGATGTAGTTTTAACACAAAACAAAATGGGCTACGGATAAAGTTGGATTAGATATAAGTAAGAACTTGCTGACAGGAAGGGATATGAGATAACTGAACATGTATAAAACACATTCACCTGGAAATATGTAGGATGAACAAAGATAATAGACCACAGTTACAAGTTTTTCAAAAGTAACTGGCCACAAAATTTCATTCTTACACAATATTCACAGTGGCTTCATTCAAATTCACCAAATATTTTCAGAATTTTCCCACTTTTCCCATCATAATAGTGATGCCTTTTCACAAAATAGAACAAAACAAAACAAAAAACAACAAAAACTCAGAATGTGAAAAGAAGAGAATGTCAAGGGCAATTCAACTGTAAGGCCCCTCATGGCATGAGCTACATTTGGGTTTGCTAGTCTTCATTCACCAGACTTTACCCAGTCAACTGGAGTTGGGTGTCGTCAGGGAATGTCAGGGATAGGAACGGAAAGGTGAGGAAAATGCCTGGGCAACACAGTGAGACCCCAACTTAACCAAAAAATTTTAAAAATTAGCCAAGCATGGTGGTGTGTGCCTGTAGTCCTAGCTACCTGGGAGGCTGAGGTGGGAGGATGGCTTGAACCCAGGAGGTTACCATTAGCTATGACTGCAGCACCACTACATTCCAGCCTGGGTGGCAGAACAAGATCCCATCTCATTGATATTTCATATATTGACATTTTATGCTCAATATGCGAAAAATAAACAATAAAGAAATCTCACAGCCTCTGCTCTGACCTCTAAAATGACCCTTGTCTTCTCCATGTCTACCATGTACCTGGAGTTTGCTTCCTTTGTATTTAACTTCTCTGTCTTAGCTCTCCCAGGACCCTGAATGCATGAAATACTCCTGCGATGACTCTCTAACTCTCAGAATATAGGTATCTCTCCCTTATCTGGTCTAGCCCAAGCCCTTGAATATTCAGAGTTATTGAAACTTCAGGTAAACTTTTTCCTATCCCTTTTATATACGGATCTCAATCTCTTTTGAATTTATCCTAACTCGTCTATACTTTTATGCTCATACTGAATAATTTCTTGTGTTCTGAAGCCAACTTGTCATGTAAATGACTTCAAGGGGAAGAGGTCATTAACGATCACATACTAGCCAGTTTTTGGATCTTCTCATATTTTTTTTAAAACCACTTAGAAGATCAGCAAAGGGAGGCCCAAAAGAAGAAGAAAAATGAAGGCCTAAGTAGTGACATCCAGAGGCGACAGAATAAAACTGAAGAGACTATACTTTGAAGTGTAAAGGTACTGGGAAGGGAAATGTTTATTTCCTTAGTAAATATACAATGAGTAGCTACTATGTCCAGGCCCTGTATAGGCTGCTGGGGACGCAAAGCTAGTTCTGGTCCTTAAAGAACTAATAGTCTACACAGGGTTTCTCAAGCTCGGTAATACTGATATTTTGGGAGGATAATTCGTGTTGTTTGGCATGGGGGACTGTCCTGTGTAGCTGCAGGATGTTTACCAGCATCCCTGGCCTACATCCACTAGATGCCAGTAGGCATCCCACATCCCCTTCCCAGTTGTGATAACCAAAAATATCTCCAGATAATGCCAAATGTGCCCTGGGGGACAAAGTGTGCCCTGGTTGACAACCACTAGTTTAGGAAAAGCAGATCATTTATATAACACACTGTGGTAAGTATTATTATCAAAACTTTGAAAGTTAGAGGACTTCTTAATTCTGGGGGAAAGACAGTGGATGCTATAGAAGGTTTCACAGAATAAATGACATTTTATGCCCAGTATATGAAAACTGTTTTGCAGTAGGCCAAGCAGACAAGAAGAGGGAAAGTTAGGGACACAGGGAAGGAGTACAGAAGAGTAAGTAGAGAAGGACCATTTGAAAGCAGATACAGGAAGATGAGCGAAGGCCTGGGGGTAAAAGACCACAGAATATTCAGGCAATGATGGCTACTTCACATGGAAGAAAATGGAAAATAAGACTGAGACCAGATCATGCCAGGTAAGAAAGGAGGTGGAATTTTAATATAAATAAGTAAATAAATGTATATTTTAAACAGAATGGAGCCCTTTTTCAAACAAATCCTTACCTAGATCCCCAGCACATTAAACTGATCTAAGTGGAACCTCTTCGGTTGGGTCATGGTCCACTCAGTTTTTCCTTAGCTTCTAAGTTGGCTTCAGAAGCACTTCTGTGGAACCCTGGAACTCTAGGACACATACTGGAAAAACCACTTTTGTAGGCAACAGGAGGCCACTGAAAGATTTTAAGTGGAGAATATATGTTCAGATTTGCTTTTCAGAAAAAAGCACTCTAGTGGCAGAACTGAATATTGAGTAGGAACAAGGAGAAAAGCCTAAAGGTGCAAAGACCAGTCAGCATTTTATATGTAGGATTCACTTGGAGATCAGTCTTAAGGCTACAAGATACATGAAGAAGCACGTTGGCTTTGAAGTTGTACAAATCTGGCTTAAAATTCTAAGTGTGCTACTAATGATGACCTTGGGCATGTTAGTTGACTTTGCTAAGCTCTATTTTGTTATTGTGTAAAATGGGGCTACCTACCTTACTTGATCACAATAAAAAAATACATGTAAATGGAGATTGGGCGCTGGCATAGATAGCACTTAGCAAATATAGATGTGCATCATCTTCCTTCACTTGGTCTCTTTGTGATTCAAGGTTATTATACCTCCTTGATCCTATGTAACTTAGAAAAGGGAGATTTAACTGCTTGTTGTTAATAACTTTTCTACTTGGTAATGAATAGATACATAATTATTTTTTAAAAGACTATATTTTTTGAGCGACCTGTTAGCATGGGCCACATGGTGAGAGAAGGTCAGCATTTGGCTTCTTCTTACTTTGGGATGTGCCAGGATGTCTCATAAGAGGGAGTTCAAAACAAGAGCAGCCAAAGCCCAAGCACTACATGTCTGCCTGGAACAGAGAGAGTGTTTCTGGCCTGCCTCAGGTTAGCAAAGCTTACATCAGTTCCACAGTTAGAAAGTCAGCAGCTAAAAACTCCACCTGTGTACAAATCTTTCAGGAGATCAAATGGTGTGAGGATTACAAAGCCTGGATTAGAAAAGCCAACTTGCAAATCCAAATTTCCCTCTATTCTTTACCATCCTGTGCCAGTAAGTACTTCAGCTATGAATATTTATGTCCCCGTCAGAGAAAACAATCTTTATTTTAAGAGGACTGATCTGTTTTCTCCTTTTCCTTCACATTGTTTATCATCACAGTGATGACATAATGTCAGCTGAGACAAATGTCCACCATACCCAAGTGAAAGGTGCAGTGCGGCTGGAGGATATAACTGGGTGGAGAATTGAGAGGAGGAAGAGTTCAGCTAAGTATTTTAGGATCACAGGCAGTGTCTGCAACTCAGTGCATTACGCCAGAAGTCTTACAGAACCAGATACTTTCAAATCGTCTACAACAAGGTAGTTAATAAAAGCTTTCTGATAATCTCAAGGCATTTTTCATTCCTATAACCCCTGTAACAAAGAATTTATATTCTCTTATGGCTGCAGATTCCCTGGACACTACGTTTACTCTTTCTAGTGCAGAATTCAGCACCACATCCACCTCCTCTGCAATTTGAGATTCTGATGTGAGGGAGAATTCAGCAATCTTACCTTTGAAGTAGGGTCCCAAAGATAAGACGAAGAAACTTCTGCATGTTTTCAGTACACAGCCATTTCCACTGTTCTGTTAGTAGCAAGAGGAGCAGATCCAGGGCTGTGTCAGCTAACTCTGTCTCTCTTCCTGAGGAACAAAATGGCATCAAGAGTAAATAAGAAGAGACCCATACTTGAGGAGTATCTTTCAATGTGCTGGGTGAAACCTGTGTCTCTCTACCTTCATGCCAATCATCTGGTATTTTTGCAATCCCTCTATACTCAAATGAAGAGATGTTTAACTCATATCTAGCAGGTTCAGTGATAGGCTCAGCATTTCTTTACAATTTTTATTTATGTTCCTGATACTGTCACCTAATAAATGTTTCCATGATTTTAGATTATATACATATATAATTATTTTGGCTACTTAGTTTCTATTTCTTCTGTATTTTCCCAGGATGCTGAATACTTTCTGCTCCAAATAAGAGCTCACAACCAATGACTAAGTGTAACTGGCAAGGCCTCCTCTCTTTCCAACCTTGCATTCCACTCACCCCCACAAAGCATTATGGAAATACTGTGGGCAGAAGTGGGAAAAAATTTGGCCTTCACTTTCCTGAAAAACCTCTGTTACACAGAACTGTGGGGTTAGGATTCAGGAGGCTTCAGTCTGATTTTGAGATAACATGTGGTTCTAGGAAGAACACACCTCTGGTAAAATGCCATAACCATTACTAAATTTTCTTGTTTCAAAGACTAGAAGGGCCATAAATGAGCTTATACCCATGCTAAACTAAGCTTTCCTGAACAAATGTATTTTATGGAAGGAAGCATGTGCTGTTTAAACTGTGCTGAGCTTCTAACGTCACTTCTGATTTGCCTCCAAGTATGTAATGTTACAGAGTGGACCTCAGATAACTGGTGCTACTGCTGTGATTAACATAATAAGTAACATCAACAATCACTCTGTTAGTATAGGACCAATGGGTATTCTCTGGGTCAGTTTGCCCAAGCTCTCCTTGAACATGAATGACTTCTGATTTGGACAGGTCTACTAGAACGAAGTCACACTTCCCTTTTAACGCCATCTAATACATATTTTCTTTTCTGTTTGTATTGCAAGGAGGCATTGGGAACTGATATGTTGTTTGCTTTCTAATCATCTCCTCAAAGATGGGAAATTGCAGTCTTTGGGAGACAGCATCATCCTGAACCTTAGTCCTCAACTGTGTGACTCTGTCAGGTTTAGCATTTGCCTGGAGCTGCCACCATGTGGTCACAATTAGTTACAGCAGTGCAAAATAAGAAAGCAAACAAGGTACCACCAAGTTAGTCCTCTTAAAAAAATGGCAATAAAATAAATAAATGGAAAAAAAAATGGTAGTTTTCTTTTTTTTTTTTTAATTACATGAGCATTTTGAGTCTCTCAGAGATAGAAGAAGGGCTTCAGGCCTAAACCCTCCCTCTGGAGATATGATGTTCAACATTTACAGGGTGGACTTTGCCTAGAATGATATTCTTATCACAGTGTTCCCGCTCCCCGCCCCCCAACCATCTTTACAGTCTCTTAGAGTTCTCTGATGCTTTCACTGTCATATCACTTCATTTACTTAAACAGTGAGATATGTGTGAAGGGATGGGGCTGTCAGTTCCATTTTTCACAGACTTAAATTGAGGCCCACAGAAGTGATGTCAGGTAATTTGTTCATGGGCACCTAAGAAAGAATAGTGAAATCAGCTTTTTCCCCATTTTTGAATCTAAGATTCTGTGATCTTTTATTCTCAACAGAGATCCTTATCTTGATGGAACTGATACACATATTTTAAGTTCTAGTTCAGTAAACATACTAATTAATATCTAATTTGAATTTTTCTTTTACAGAGTACACATCTGCTCTTCTCCTGGAAGGCAAAATTGTTCTACCTCCAAGGCTTCTAAGGAAGAAGCAGAGCTTTCACCTTTTCTCCCTCCCTACTTTACGCTGGGTAACTACTTGGTATATTTGCCAAGGCAGTAAATAAAGAAGAAAGACTAGACTGGGGGAAAAAAGACAATTTCCATCTTGAACATGTTACACTTCAGTTGCACTATGGTATATCCAAGTGAAGAACCACAATATTCAATATTTAAGGCATCACCACACATGCATTAGAGTTGAAGCCAACGGCACAGCTGGGTCACCCTGGAAGAGTGTGTAGAATAAGAACAGAAAGGCGAAAATCAAGCTCTGATGGGTGGTTCATGGAGTCAACAGAGTGGACTAAGAACCTGCAAGAAAGGTGTGAAGAAAACCAGGAAAACTGGACACTAAGGAAAGAAAGTTTCTAAAGAAATGCAAGAGTCTGATATGCCACAGCATGCCAAAAATAAATTCAATGAGCTGTCGGTATTATCAGCATGATCTCGTCCTGCTGGACTAGAACTCCGTTTGTGCCCTGCTCCGCTGCTTGCCTCTGCTCTGGCAACTCTCTCCTACCCATCTCTGTGCCCAAACATAGCACCTCCAACACTGGAGTTCAACACATGGCATGCTCAGCTGGACAGAACAGAAATTAAAGTTACCAACTCCAACTATCCCAAGTCCCAAATGGATGCTGCCTGGCTCCCTTCTCCATGGGAGCAGAGACCTTGCCACTCACCTGGATCGCTGTTGCTGGGGTCTTGGGCTGGCACAGCTGCATCTGACAAGCAACTGTCCACATGTCCTTTGGGAAGTTGTTCCGGATCTTTTTCTGGGGCTTCTGTTGGCTGCATTTCCAGTAACTTTGTCTGTTTTTCAATAAAAGATTCCATCCCAGACATGGATAGGGTCTCGGGCTCCTAAGGAATAGCCAGTGGCACATCACATATAGAATATTGACAGTAGGGGAGCAAATGTGGCTCTCTAGGTTTCCCTGCCTCTCCCCTGAGTAAGTACCTTAGGTACAGAACCCAACTGATGCTATGACTACTTTAGGAAAGATTTTAACCAAAGTTGCAAGTAAAACAGGCCTGTCCTAGGACTATTCTGAATATATTTTTGGGTCATCCACTTTTTTCCAGGAACTAGTCTTCTTTCTGATCTTGTCATCCATTATCCCAAACCCACTGTGGTTGAGAAGCCAACCTGCCAACCCAGAACTGATAGGAATTCCAAACCACTCAGACAAAATACTTTCAGCATTAAAGTTAGAGATCCAGGGACCGGGCGCGGTGGCTCATGCCTGTAATCCCAGCACTTTGGGAGGCTGAGGCGGGTGGATCACGAGGTCAAGAGATCGAGACCATCCTGGTCAACATGGTGAAACCCCATCTCTACTAAAAATACAAAAAATTAGCTGGGCATGGTGGCATGTGCCTGTAATCCCAGCTACTCAGGAGGCTGAGGCAGGAGAATTGCCTGAACCCAGGAGGTGGAGGTTGCAGTGAGCCAAGATTGTGCCATTGCACTCCAGCCTGGGTAACAAGAGCGAAACTCCGTCTCAAAAAAAAAAAAAAAAAAAAAAAGTTAGAGATCCAAATGTTAATTAAGTCATTTAGCAGGACATTTCTGGATTTAGAGAAAAACTCAACTGCCTATAACTAAAGGACCAACATCTCAGATCTTTCTGCCTCACATTCTCTGGGTTTTGGTTCTTACCACACTGCCTTCCTGGAGACAATAGAGAATCTTGTCTTGTGCTTCAGTCACACTTAGTGCTGGAGAAATTTTACTGGATGAGAACCTCAGCCTGGACCTGGTACAGAAACAAAGAGCAGAAGCAGAATGTAATTCATGGTCTTGAGCCCCACACAAAGGTCTGGTAAGTACTGATAACACATCACAACAAGAATATCCATACTAATTCTAGGGAGCTTACTGTGGTCAGAGCTGCCAGGAAAGACTTGGCCCTACAATCCCCCAAACAATGTATATTCTGGTGATTCTTAATAGATAGGGCAACTCATATACTAAGCTATGTCTACAGTGCACTTGTGAAATGGCTTCTGCCAAGTAAAACTGATATCAGTCTATATCATGGTTATATTCCCACAGAATAGAAGATTAGCTAGCACATACTAGGCACTCATTAAAAATGTGCTGAAGATTAAACAGATGGGTGGCATAGACCAAGTTTTTATTATTGCTATTCATGGTGTATTCTTTTTGGACATCCATCAATTCCCCTTGCATTCCAAATTAAACCAGAGAAGGAGATGCAAGTGATAACATCAACGTTTCAAGGGACAGAGACTCATAAGCGCAGGTATCATGGCCGTCCTTCAAAATAAGGGCCCGTTAAGAAAAGGTTAGGTGCTGTGAGTCTGTTATTGCTGGTCCATGAAATGTTAAGCACAGAGACAGTGAGTCAGACACACAACACACACACACACACACACACACACACACACACACACACACACACA